AGGTGTTACTCCATTTTTTTCCTGCCCCTCAATTTTTCTTACACAAGTATGGAAGGAATGAGGTTGACCCCACTGGTTCAACATTTGACCTGTTTCTTTCTCAGTGAGGGAAAACTCTCACTGCAAAAAGCACTCTTGGTGTTATACACTGACTAGGTTCACATGTCATTGCTGTCAGTGCTACTCCTCTAGTGTAAACAATTATCACTGGTAGTACAAAATCAGAGATGACCCAGCCAAATAGGGGATCATGGTTGTCACTTGCTGCTCTCCCCACCCCTAAATAATACCACTTGCTTTGCAGTGATCCACAGGAATTACACATGGTGGCTCAGTGGCTAAGATGCTGAGCTTGTTGATCAGAAAGGTTGACAGGTCAGCAGTTCGAATCCCTAGTGCCCCGTAATGGAGTGAGCTCCCGTTACTTGTTCCAGCTTCTGCCCACCTAGCAGTTGAAAAGCAAGTAAAAATGCAAGTAGAAAAATAGGAACCACCTTTGGTGGGAAGGTAACAGCATTCCATGCACCTTCGGAATTTAGTCATGTCGACCACACGACCATGAAGACGTCGGACAGCGCTGGCTCTTCAGCTTTGTAACAGAGATGAGCATCACCCCCTAGAGTCAGGAACAACTAGCACATATGTGCGAGGGGAATCTTTACCTTTACCTTTACAGGAATTACAGGCGATACCCTGCTATCAGACATTATATTGCCAGTTGATTTTTAACACTTACAGGAAGCCACAACTTTCCACATAGCCAATCCTTTTTAACTGCAAAACACTGTGATTCCATAAAGTTACTGTATTAGTACCATTTATTTGTCTCGCACCCACATGCTCCTTATCACTCACAGCAAATGTCTATGTGCATGCATATTTTTCATCTACAACCTGATTTTGCTTTCTTTGTACATATTTTCATCAGAGATTTAGCAGTGGCAATTTTGAATGCTGAATTCATAGAAATTCCAAGTATAACCCACATATTCTGTAAATTATAAATATTTCCTTTCATTGGGTCATGGTATTTACGGGCTGAGTTGCTGCCAACTATGATATGGAATAGTACCATCACTCTGTGTGCATGTATGTATTTCAATGAGTTGTGATTATCCAATCCATAGTAGCAAAAAAAGGGGGGTTAAGTCACCATTTGTTTCAAGATCATCCTCTAGCATACACAAGGAATAATACCATACTGTTATATTGACACCCAATAGTGATGTACTATTTAAGTGTTGGACTTGGATTGTACATTGGGCAGGTTCAAATTCCATTCAAACATGGAGCTCACTCCATGATTATGAGCTAATCATTTTCTTAGCCTCAAGGGTTTCTAATAAAGGACAAAAAGTGGGATAGAAATATTCCAAATAAATAATATCTGTGGCATTTTGACAAGTGTCAGCAAATCAAACCTAAAATTTGATTAAATAACTGGGGCAACACTAAAAGAATTTAGAGAAAAAGAATTTAAAGAGAAATATCAGAGATAGATTGCTTTTATCTCTTTGAAATTCTCCTGTAAATACTCCTAGAGTCACTTTAAATTTCTGAGTAGTCAGAGGAATTAAGGGAGCTTCAAACAATCCATGGTCATTTGCAAACACCTTCCCAATTCTTCATATTGGTTAAGATTCTTATGTTCCTCCTTAGAATATACTGTAACTTCTTTCTCAGATCTCAATGTCAGCATTGAAAAGGACCATCCCATGGGCAACTGCTAAAAAGACACCACTAACCTTATTGTTGTTAAAGTTGTTTGATTTTTAAAAATCCAGATCCAGATTGCCGTGCTTTGATCATCTGAAACATGAGAGAAATCTCAAGCATATGTACATTATCTGACCAGAATTTTATTAGATTTGCTTTCCCCTCATCCCCATCTCATAGAAGCATTTTGCATTTCATTTTTTTCTTTTAGATTCTTGGAAAATATAGCTCCTGCCTGGACCTCTGGGTCAGTGGTGAAATTCATTTTCTTTTAACCACTGGTTCTGGAGTGGCTTGGTGGATGTAGCAGGAGAAGGATACTGCAAAAGCTCCATTCTCACTACACTCTGGGGCCGAACTACTCAAAATTTCCACTACCGAAACCTGTCTCCAGAACCTGTCATAACCTGCTGAATTTCACCCCTGCTCTACATTTGCTGAAGTTTATTTAACATTATTTTTTAACTAGCTCTTAGAACCAGCTACTTCTTTCTGTGTTCATGGTTCAGTTTCCATTCAAGTGAAACCATCTTTTTTGAGTTGTAAGTTTAATTACACTTGAACAAACTTATTTCTGGGTAGAATTACTATGTTTAAATCTTAAGCAAACTCATTAAGGAGAACACGAGAAGCGACATTGAGTCCATTTCAGAATAAAAGGCCATAGGACTGTTCTGGATAAGGAACTGCCTCTAGGTGTGTGTGTGAGAGAGAGTGGGAAGGTGGAAGTAGAACTGCCTGAATCTGCTTTTGAGCTTCTGATCTAGTTCAATTTGAATCCTTGATATAATGCTCACTTAGTGATGAATCAGTATAAATAACAGAAAACCTAGTAAATTAATTAAGATGGCAGCTGAAATTATGGGTATTAAAATATTTCCCTATCATAGGCCTACATTTAAATGCATAGTTTCAAATTGTACTTCACTATCCTTGTAGTGCCAAGATATTTTTTTTCCATTTGTTTTGTATATCAGATTCGTTAGTAGTGAATCTACAAGAAATCATTTGCGCCTAAACTTTGGAAGAGTTCTGCCAGTAAATCACTGTTTCCTCTAAAAAATAATATGTATGAATCAATCCACATGTTTTCAGACCTTCAAGGAACTTTAGGGGAGAGGAAACTCCAATATAATCCAAATAAAACCTCCATGCCCATAATGTCATTATAAATAAAGTATTCAATACTTTTCTTTGGCCCAGCCAGCCCATTTAAATTATAGAGCCCTTAAGAGAGATCTAATGTTGAAGGAGGCCTGCCAGAACAGGGTGCAACCCCATTTTTAATACAGAAAATCTAGAATTATAGTGTTCTCAGTCATCTCATTAAACAGATTCTAGAAATGGTCTTGAAGAGCTCAAGAAAGGGAGAACCCACCATTTCTTAAAGGATTTGTTTTATAGGACAAACTGCTCATTGTGAAGAACTTTTTTCCCTAATGTTGAATCAAAATCTATTCAGCTGAAGTCAGGCGTTCCATAGAGTCCCGGGGCAGAAGATAACTAAGTTTCTTCTTTGTGACAGCTCCTGAGGCATCTAATCCCTGCCTAGGAATTATTACGCCTAGACAGCCATATTAGATTAAACACATTTTTATAGGTGAAGATTTTCAGGTGATGTGTTGAGCGATGGGTGTATTGATTAAGAGTTAAGCAAGTTGCTGGACTTGAATCAAGGGCACCCAAAAGTCAAATCCTCACTCAAGTATGAAGCTTACTGGGTAATAATACCAACGACTCTTTCAACCTTATTGGGGAGTGTCTAATTGGGGAGATGGGCAGAAAAATAAATAAATAAATAAATCCAAACCTAACTTACCTAAAAAGGAAATTGTGGAAATACAATTATAAATCTTCCCCCTACACATGCACCCCAACTATTCATCACCAGCACCATTTGAACTAAAGATGATAAGAAGTGACTGTTAAAGAAAGGTGACACCATCTTTTAACTTTGTGCCCATACTTATAGTTTGCCTCTTCAATTTTGCTTTACTGATAATTAAACTATCTGCAGCAGCATCGTTTAAAAATATTATTATTTTTTTAAATAACCAAAGTACAATCAATCACAATAAAGAAAGAGGCTAAGGGGTTGGAATTCTGCATTGTGTGCCAATTCCAAAAGCAGTTGGAGAGTTATCATTATTATTTTTTAATTAATGCTCATGCACTTAGAGGTTCCTGGAATTTAGCAAGTATTTGTTCCTTCAGTACACTGACAAATTCTTCCAAACACATGACACATTCGGAAATACGAGAACCCCCAGAGATTTAACAAACAGTCCAAATTCTGCCATCACAATTCTACTGCAATCCTTTTCGCATCTGCTATTTCCATTCGCCTGGAATTGTGCCAGGAGTGGGCAAACCCAGAAAACGGTACCCTGGTTTCTCCTGTATTACTCAGATCTCGTCAGATCTTTTGGTGGTGCAGGTTGCCTGTCACTTCATTTCAATGAAAGCACACGTAACGTTTGGAGATCTTTCGACAGCGGGGAAAATGGGAGGTTTTCCCTCCTTTTCTCCAGTATTCGATTTAAGATGAAGTGAAGACTAAAATCTGTTATTGGCGAAAAGGCAGTACCTGAATTCGCCATCGACCTGACACGCCAAGGAATGATCTCCCCTCCCCACATTCCCTCCCCCCCCCCCCCCCCCATGATGGCATGTAAAGACCGCCGCTATCTCTCAGATAGAGCCTTATTGGCGCAGTCAAACTTCCACGCCACAGTTGCTCGCGGGAGCACTTTCTGGGCGCCTCGAGTTCAGTCCGCAACTTCATGCCAAACGCCTTCCTCTTTCACGTGTGACAAAACAGCCCCCCCCCCCCCGTTTCACACTCTGGGAAGAAAGAAGTCTGCCGGCTCAGCTTGGAGGCGGTTACGCCGGTCCCATTCCCGCCTCTGAGCAAGGCTTCTTGTCGCCCTCAGGCGAGACGGAGGAGAGCCCTCAGCGCAGCCTTGCATCCCGAAAAGCGTGGCTCTGTGTGTAGGATCGGAGCGGGACTGGGGTCTTTGGGCCTGGACTGGGCTTAAGTGGTCAAGATCAGGCTCCCTCTCACATCCCACCCCATCCTACCCCGAACCCACTGCCTTTCTCCGGCCTCTGGCTGCACGGGTTGCGATTTCTTCGCAAGGGACCGGGACTGGGCGGGCCGAGGGAGGCGGTGGCCACTCCTCTTGAAGCCTCTAGCTGTCCCCGCCCGTTCAACAGCAGCAGCTCCTCTCCAGCCCGGGCGTGCAACAGCGGCGGCGCAGGGAGCTCCGGCCAGTGCGCGGCGACACGGATGCCCAGCGCGGCGCCTCCGCAGTGCTCCCGCTCCGCCCCGGCATGGTAAGTAAAGGAACGAATGCATGCCGACTTGGGGACAAGGGCATTGGGCGAGAAAGAGAGAGCGAGAGAAAGGGAAGACGGGGGGTACTGCAGTCCTTGCTAGCAGCCAGGTTCTGCTCGAGCGTGGCTGCTGTCCGTGGTGCTCCATCTCGCCGGGGAGGAGCGAGGGAATTCCCACTCCGAATTGGTATCCGAACAGCTTCGTTCGGCTGGCGCTAAGTCCCGACGGCGTAGCAGCCATTTCCCGCCCCCTCTTCTCCCTATGGATCCCGGTCTGGGTGGGAGGATTCTTTTTTTTTTTTTTTTTTTTTTGGTCCCTGCCCCAAAGAGACCTTCTGCGCTTCTTCTGGACAGTTCTGCCTCTTCCCTCCCTCCTCAATTCGGAGTCATAGTAGGCCCCCTTGGGGGCAACTCCGGGATCCCTTAGCACTGTCCCAGCTTCTTTCTCCCGATTCATTTTTGCCTGGGCAGGTAGCCTCTGATGTTTCCTTTTCTCCTGTAGCCCATCACTGGAGGAGCTGTGACAAGGAGGTTGGGACTCGGAGAAGAGCCCATCTTTGCTCTGAAGCAGCCGAGTAGTGCCTCTTGTTTCTTATCAAGATGAAGTGAAGTGCCAAATTGTTCCTCTTCAGTTCCATGGAGTGGCAGGACCGAGGTTCTTGATTGGACTGGGCTGGGCAGAGCCCCCCACCTCCTCTATTCTGCTCTTTCAACTCACCATGGGGTGGAGGCATCTCCTCTTGCTTCTACCATTTGTTTTGTATGTCCTGACACTACTTCTGACCACCCAGGCAGCTGGGCCCCCACGGACGCCCAAGGGCAACCGGACACAGGGGGCAGGAGCCTCCCGGAGACCTTACAAGCCAGCCAAGGAGCAACTGAACCAGTCCCTAACCAGCACGGCCCCTTCTTCTGTGCAAGCTGGTGGCGGAGGAAGCCATGGACGCAGTCCTGGTGTAGGGCCAGCAAAAGTGCCCTCCAGCAGCAGCGGCAGCAGTGCAGGCATTTCCAGCCCAGCGTATGAGACATGCATGGGTTACTATGATGTGAGTGGGCAGTGGGACAAAGAGTTTGAGTGCAACAATACTCAGCAGGATTTTCGCTACTGTTGTGGCACCTGCTCTTTCCGCTTCTGCTGCAACAAGCGCTCTAAGAAGCTCAATCAGGAAAAGTGCCGAAATCAGGACCCCCATCCTAGCACATATCCTATGACCCCTGCCACCAATAATAATGGACCTGGAGATACCAATGGGTATGACCCTAATGAGGACAACACAAATGCCACCGTCTACATTTCATGTGGGGCCATTGCCTTTGTTGTCATTGCTGGCATTTTTGCTAAGGTGGCATACGACAAAGCACGACAACCACCACAGGAAATGAACATCCACAGGTGAGAACAGAGTGTGGACCCCAGTACCTTTTTTCCACTTTCCACAACCTTGAGCAATGAGTGTGCACTGATATGAGTAAAACATTCTCAATCCAAATACTATCATCCTGTGACTTGGGGAGAAATTCCCTGCCTCACAGAAACACAGCTGCTTTTCCCAGGTTGGCTTATGACAGTAAACCCCACTTTACTGTCTTATAAATGGGATGATTGAGTTTCTAGTTCCTCTGTGCAATTTGTTCTCCTGTGGGAAATGAAAGGAGTTTTCTTTAAGATACTTGAGAGATTGTCACCTGCCATACTTCATGGATCCTTGTTTCCCTAGAGAAACAAATGTGCAAAACCTCATACAAGTTGTCTCACCTCCTGGTATCATGGAGATTCTCATTTCTTTTGTTCAGAATTGGCATGGTAATTCTCGTGTACCAGCCTTGCCCAGCTTAGCATCCTCCAGAAATTTTGGACTAAAACTCCCGTCATCCTTACCCAATTTAACATGTTGGTTTCAATGATGGGAGATTTTGTCCAACATATTTAGAAGGTATCGGGTTAGGGATAGCAATTTTACACCATACTGTCCTACTCCTTCTCTTTTTATTAATAGGAACAATTGAGAAAAGTACATTTTAATATCTCTCTCTGAAAAAGGTGATGTTATTAGCAATAGATATGATACTAATCCTCCTATTTTTCGTAAGTTCATAGAATTGTAGAGTTGAAAGAGACCATGAAGATCATCCTAATCTGACTACTTGCAATGTGCAAGAACATCCCAAAAGCCTCTTTGAGAGGGGCCCTCTTTGAGTTCAGCCTCTTCTAAACCCTGCCAAAGATAGAAAACCCACAACTTCCATATATAGACAATTGTTACAGTGAGATAAATTATTATATATCATAAAGTTGAATAAAGATTCAGGTTATGGTAAATTTTTACTCAACGTTTCTTTTGAATCAGGGAGGCTGAAGAGGAAAGAGTGACTTGTATCAGAAACTCAGCTATCTAAAACCTGATACAGTTTGAAGAACACCCTCTAAATAGAAGGTGTAGGTGGCTGAGTTCTGTATTAATAACTAAAATTATTTAATAGCCCAATTATCACAACCATCCAATAAATTTGGAGACCTTACTCCATAGGCTTTGAAAAAAATATTATCCTATGATTTCTTAAAAATTAAGCTTTTTAAATGTTTTAGCTACAAATCTCTTAGGTGAGGTCTGAAATTGACAACTTTTAACAAATGTTAATCTTTATTCTATTTCTATTTTCATACAACCTTGAAATCTGTATTTACCTTTAGGCACTAACATTAATTTATTTTACCCTAACAACAAAGCACAGAATTACATAACACCAAGCATGCTTAAAATAGGGAAAGAGTTGTTCACTTTTATATAAACCTTTCAAAGCTTTCTTTCCCTCAAAGAAATGGGGGAAATGTCTCATTCTTCATTGCAATACATCTTGGTATCATTCTTTCTAAAACCGCGAGAATTAGATTCTGTGTTGTTTTGTAGCTTTCAAAACAGTCCAGACTGCTCTCTTTGGTGTTCATCAGACACCTTTTTATACAGCTACAAACCTTACAAAGGGTTTTCCCATTTCCCCTCTTTTAAAATTTGTACCTATCGCATCTTCCTGTTAAACACTCAACAGTTTTTAACCCCCTTTCCCAATTGATGAAAGTGCACAAAAACATTCTGGACTATTTTCTACAAGTTCCAGCTATTTTTCCCAAGGTTATAACACTTTCCCTATATTTTTAAATCCCTACTTAAGATTCTCTTTCCTCCTCTTTAACTCCTGGTAATTTTGCATCCTCCTCCACTGAACCAACTAAAAGCATGCTTGTACAATTGCACATTAACTTTCCCCCCATTCCTGACTTCTGCCTGGAACTTTCACACTTCCTGTGGTGCCTGATTTTCTCCTGCACTCTTTGTCCTGCTAGTTTTTGTTTACTCTAAGTGCTATAGAAAGTGGAACATTTCCTCCTTGCACTTCTAAAAGGATTAATCTCTTTTTCTAAGCCAGCTTCTTCTGGAGAGGAGACCCATGTCATTTTTTTAAAAAAATTCTTCAGTAGTTAGAACTACTAGGAACTCCTGCATATTTCTATTTTAAGCTCATTGAGGCATTCTAAGTTAACATTTGAATGATTAAGGTGGTCTTTGGTACTTTTTTGGTCTTTAAGTATAATAACAAAAGAAAACTACTCACTCTCTGTGCAAATGTTGCATAGAAGAAATATGTTTTAACTGGGAAAAGTCAGATACCCTTCATTTTACCCCTGTGAATGACAAGTACTCTTGCATCTGACATGAATTGTTGAGATGGGGCTTTCAAATGTAGGATTTGGGGTGTATGTGTCACTCAAGTGTAAGTAAGCTAATTTGTAGTGAGCAATTTTTTGAAAATATGTAATAGAAGCAATCATGACAGAGAGGAGCAGCTGCCTTTGCATGATTATCTTTCATTTAAATCATCAATTAAATATTGTGTATGCTGAAAGACTTGACACCAGCTTATTAAATGAAAAGCAAGTGTATTTTACTCAGTGCATAGAATACAGTATCAGCATTCTACTCAGTAAAATCCCAAGCAAAACTACAAAAAAGCCCAAATTTATCACATCTATTCCCCACACCACCCGCTGCTACATAAGCCAATCTGGAAAACTTGAAAATATTATCTCATTTTATTTTTCTCATTTACTCACTACTATATTATATACAATGAAGGCAACTCATCAGCTGGTATGCACACTGAATCACATTTTTCTGACATCTTAAGCTTTGCATGTGAAGGGTTATGCTAAAACTGAAATTTAATTTGAATGCACTTGGCTGTTAGTCAGTACCTTATGAGCACTGGCATGCTTGCATACACACAAATACACACAGAGACGCACACGTCCCATATACATACATGCACATAGTAATAATATTTAAAACTTCTGTCAGCAATACTATGAAATACTACTGAATACTATGAAATATTATTGCATTAAGTTCAGTAAATATGAGGAAGAATTGAGAATATTGTCTTATGGGACTTAAACACCTCTTTTTTCTTTCATTAGTGCTTTTGCTAAGGTCAGCGCATCTCAGGCATTCTTGGTGAATCTGGAAATATATGTGTGCTCCTCTTTCCCATATTTTTTATGATGCCAGTAGCAGTGGCATTACAAAATCTCTCATCGAAATCACATGAAGCCTTATCAGCCCTGTCTAAACTCCCTCTTGTCATTTCTATTCTTAGATGTTCTTTTCACTTTTAAAATATGTTTTTAAACGCTGAAATAAATGACTTGTATGGAGATCAAGGATCTAAAGAAATGAATAACAATTGTGTTTTTGAAAAAAAAAAGATACAATGTGCAATACAAAACAATAGCAGAGTTGGAAGGGACCTTGGAGGTCTTCTAGTCTGACAAATGGCTATCCAACATCTTCTTAAAGACTTCCAGTGTTGGGGCATTCACAACTTCTGGAGGCAAGCTGTTCCACTGATTAATTGTTTTATCAGGAAATTTATCCTCAGTTCTAAGTTGCTTCTCTCCTTGATTAGTTTCCACCCTTGTTCTACCCTCAGGTGCCTTGAAG